AATTCGGAAAAATGAAACTGGAGCGCGGGAGCCGTCGCGGGGACGAGCTGCTCGCGGGAACCGGAAGTGCTCGGCGTCGAGGCCGGATCCAGGAGCGAGGGATATCGATGGCACGGCTGTGCTGCGGCGAAATTTCTCGCATGGTTTCGTCACGAATGAATTTTCTTTGGCAGTCGGCGGAGTTCGAGAACTGACATTAAGCAAGCCGCGGGTATTGATCGGGCCGCGGCGCGCCTGTGCGCCTCCGCAACCGCCATGTTTAAAATGCTCGCGGCCCGCGATCCGCCGTGTTGCATTTCCACCTTGAACGATATCTCATCCGAACGTTTCTCGCACAGGTCCCGCCGATTTATCCGCGGCCATTTGTTCGCCCGATAGCTCGCGGCCCCCGGCGGCCATTTTCCCGCGCGAACTTACTCGCGCAGCTCCGAGGACGCACGGAACACTTCCGAAGCAGGATCTCCCGTCGTAGTTCGTCTTCGTTCCCCGAGATATTTAAGTAAATGGAAATTTATGTCCGAATTCGAAGTTTCGGAAAGTTATCCCGGGATTTTTGTTTTACCGTATCCACCGCCGCGGCTTGTGCCTCATTCCGACGGGAACTGCAACGTCTTCCGGACGGTTATGACTCGGAATTTCTGTACGGTAAATTATGGACGCCGTTTTTTCCGATTTTCTGCGGGCAGATTTTAAATTCGCCCGTTGCAAGGCTCGGGCTGGATAGAAATGCATCCCGTAATTATTCTAATAAGATATAGGTTATGTGACGATAGTCATTAATTTTGATGTTTTATTTCATTCTTTTTTTTAGGGAGATGTAACGATTTTAGTAAGAAGGAGATATAGGCTCAAAACTTTCCAAAAATGTTTTACCATTTTATTGTAACTTTTCTTGCAGTTTCGAGAATTTTTCTGCACCGATTCCGCTCGAATTTTGCATACGGCTTCGTTTTACGTAGGAACAATGTTTGCGAGAAGGATTTTTCGCGATTCGGATGACGAGGCTCAAAATTTTGACAGAAATGTTTGACCTCGAGTAACCTTGAAAACTTTTGTGCTTCCACTTGACGCAAATTTTACGTAGAGCTACGTTTTCCATAAGAACGATGTTTGCGAGAAGGAATTTTCGCGATTCGAAAATTAAAATATCTTAACTCAATTTTAATAATTTTAATTAACTAAATTTTGTATTTATATTATTTTATCAATTCATAATAAAAATGACCAGATCAAATATAAAACAGTAAAATCATTTAAGGTCTTCGAAATTATCTTCCTATATCTTGCAACTCGTCTAAACAATTTTTATTTTACCCAAAAATTAAAACTTATTATTCCAATGGCATTTCCTACCTTACCGATATCTGCATTACCTTTAATTTCATTTCCGAGTCATAAAATTCTCCCCAAAAAAATATCCTCCCCGCGCAAGACGCATCAATCTTACTACAAACTTCCGAAACAAATGCTCGAATTTTCGAATGAAATCGCGTCGATGATCAATCCGCATCGAATCATTTTGTGCAGCTTCGTTAATAGTAATTTCGCGGGCTTAAAACAGGCCGCGAGTCCGAGGCGAAACGAAAATGTCGGTCGGTCCCGGCGAATATTTTCATTCTGCCGATATTTCATGCATTCGAATGGCACCGGGTTGCCACTTTTCGAGCGGGCTCGCGCGCGATTGGCCGCCCGGCGACGCACGGGGCGGGGTGGGGGAGCATTTTGCTCGCGCGTTACCGCGTCTCCGGGATTAGAGGAACGTGGCGGGTGAGTGGCCCGAACGAGGGCGCTCGAGAAAGAAGAGCGGTCGTCGAAACGGAAGAAAGATGTAGATGAGTGCGGGGGAAAAAGCGGCGAGTGAAAAAACCGCGAATCTAATTCCCGCCGAACCGAAAATAGAGCAGTTCGACGCCAATGGAGCGCGAGAACGTTGCTGTTAACCAAACGAGAAGCTGAATACCTTTTACGTAATGTATCTTCAACTGTTCGGAGACTAATAAATAAGAAACGTTATCTGAAACGGCAGAGTCGACGTCCTACGATAATGGACGAATTAGAAAGAGATATCGAATTGGTTTATAAATAATGCCATTTCTGCCTGAAATGTAAATCAACGAGGAGCGGTGTCGTTTTTAAATAGAATATCTAAAACTGTTTGGAAAATAGACAATGGAACAAAAAGTTGAGATGACGTTATACGATAATGAATAATGCAACGTGTTCCTGAAATGTAAATCGGAAAGCGGTGTCCTTTTTAAATAAGATATCTAAACCGTTCAGAAAATAGACAATGAGACAAAATGATGAGATGAAGTCCTACGACAATGGTTAAATTAGGAAGAGCTACTGAGTCAAACTATAAATAACGTCGCTCGTTCCTCAATTGTAACTCAATGAAGAGCAGCGTGCTTTTTAAATAAAATATTTTAAACTCTCCAGAAAATTGAAAGTTGCCGCAAAGAAATGGTTCGAACAAATGTGATGAAGTGCTACGATAATGGCTGAATTATAAAGAGACGCTGTGTTGAACTATAAATAACGTCAATTGCTCATTTAAATAAAATATTTGAAATTCTTCAGAAAATAGGAAAAGGTCCGAGAAAGAAATGATGTGGCATCCTACGACAATGGACGAACCATGAAAAGATACTAAATCGACCCAAGGATAGCGTTACTGGATCTCTGAGTGCATATCAACAAAATAAGTTGAGAAAATGGTAACAAAAATGGTCCAAACGAATGCGACAAGGTCCTACGACAATAGATCAAGCATAAGAAGATATTGAATCACCGGTTAAATAATGTTATCTGTCCAAATGTAAATGAACGAGCAGCTTTATTTAAAAAAATATTAAAAAGTGTGCAGAAAATGGCGAAGAAGAAATGGTCCGAGAAAATCAGAGAAAATCCTACCACAATGGATTAAGCATAAGAAGACACTGAATCACCGGATAAATAATGTTATCTGTCCAAATGTAAATGAACGAGCAGCTTTATTAAATAAAATATTAAAATGTGTGCAGAAAATGGCGGGGAAAAAATGGTCCGAACAAACGAGACGAAGTCCAGCAACAATGGACGAAGCACAAAGAGATACTAAGTCGGTCCATAAATAACGTCCCTCGCTTCCCCGAACGTAAATCAACGGGAAACGCGTTTCTGTTTAAACGAAATATTTATTAACGCGAACGAGCGCAGTTCATTTGAAGTAAAAATTCGAAGAACTGTACGGAAACATAAAATGGCTGTGAAAGAGGGGCCATTACAGATAAAAAATCAGCGACGGTATTGAAAAGTGTGTACAGTTGACGTAGCAGTTTCCGAGAATGAGAAGAACGCACGGCCGTAGTAATTGTAAAATAAATCCGGAACCCGTTATTTTTACGTCGGAATTCCACCGTCGGAACGAGACCCGGGTTATTGTTTGTTTTACTGGACGTTTTACGAAAAAGACCGTCCGCGGATCACGTATCGGGACCGCCGTTCGAGTCCCCGGCAGCGGAAAGGTATGCCGTATTACTGCCCCCGGAAAAGAATAAACCATCCGTCCGTTTTATCGCCTTATATTTCGTGGTCCCTCCATTCTTTCGGATCGTCGAAGTTCGACAGCGCGGCGGCGTTTCGAATATTCGCGGACTTCATGATCCAATTTATTGTCGTTCCAAAGAGGCAACGGGAAAAAGAAAAGGCCGATATATTTTGATCGGCCGTTCATCCCCTCCCCCCAGCACTTTATTATGTGCCAGCGGCACTGAATGCGAATTTATGAAGCGGGTCTTAGACCTTTGCGTAGGCCGACCAAGAGTTTTGTTTATCTTTTACGATTAACCAGAAATTATAATCTCCAAAGATTGTTTAACGAGTGAGAGAATAAAGAAACGAATAAAGAATAAAGAAAATGACAGACGAAGTCTGTCGACGCTCGAGACTCGGCATTTAAAAGGATACCGTAACCAGAAAAGAAATAAACGCGCGACAATGAATATTCCATTGTCGGTAATTCTTACTTTATCTTCATGATTGCAGCATAAACGGATTGCTGAGATTTTTCCGATTAAAATGAGTCCAAACACGACGTAAATCCGATTAGTTTAAGCTATAGATAATATAAAGGGTGAACAAAGAATATCACTAATTTTCTATCATCTAAAAATGTTTATCGAAACATTCGTTAATTCAAACCAAGCAATGTTTCTCTTTGATAGCATATTGTCAAAAAGCAAGTAAAACATTCAAAGTGTTCATCATTGTTTAGTTCACCCAGTATATAAGTAATGAGCTGAACGTAGACCGATGTACGTCGTGTTTGGACTCGTTTTAATCGCAAGAATGTCAGCAATCCATTGGCACTACTTTCGTGAAGGTAAAATAAAAACGACTGAATTCGAAAGTGTCATTATCGCATGATCATTCTTCCGCGGCGTCTCTTTAAAGTGTGCTTGCTTCCTGCGGCCTCCTCCTCTGCCCTTGTCTGTCAAGATAAGCAAACACCCCCCCAAAAGTTTAAGCGAGCATTACAACTTCGTCGCTACTAAGCGAGCATCGCAGCAAGTCCGAAGATCCGACGAATTCAAAGAAACAAAATGTCCGAACGTGCCCGTTGCGGGTCGCGCGTTAAAAGCTCGACGATCGAGCGAGACAGAAAAATGTTTCTAGCACCGAAGCCCGGAGAGTTTACCAACTTCGCCATCAAAGTCAATGAGAAGTGTGCTAATAAATCTCGCGGGAGAGAAATTCCCGTCTCGGCCACTAAAAAACTCGAAGGGAAAGAAAAACGTAAAAATGGTCCGCTGGTTTTATTCGTCCGGCGAGGAAGAGCCATAGTATCGTTTGAATATTCCCGAAGAAGAAAGCCTCGCGGGGAAATTTCCCCGTAGGAGAAAGAATGCCGGGAATGAACACCGAGAAGGCATAAAATTGAAATGTGATCGTTCCGGCATCGATCGCAGCGGCGCGATGTGGGCCAGGTCGGCCAAGAAAATGGGTTTCGGATTACTTACCCTGGTTGCGCCTTTGCCTCGTCCCCTCCCCCGCTCTCGGAACGCGCCCTCGCCGGTCTGCAGGTGGTACAGGTGCTGGAACAGAATCGAAAGAGCGACGGTTAAACGGTGGTTCGTGTTAATCGGTCGCCGAGGATCGCGGTCGATCCCGACGACAAGCATTCGGATCGTTATCGTGGCCGGCGACGGACTATCGTAAAATCAAGGCAACCGTATCACCTCAATTGACCTCGTTAAGCCCAATAGAGGCGTTAATAAAACTATAACCTTCCAGGGCCAGCCGGTATTAGATTAGATTCCAGCGACGACGGAACACAGCTTCCAGCCGCGTATCCACCGAAGGAACGCTCGTCGCTTATTTCCAGCCCGCGGATATACAGGGTGTCCCAAAACACTCGCAGACCCTTCGAACGTTTCGAAGTTCTTAATGATCCCAAACGATTCCTCGGATCGTTACGAGTAACTTTTTCCTTAGCGAAAATCGTCTCCGAGGCTTCGTTCGCGAGTTATGAGCGATAAACGCGAGCCAATCAGAGAGCGAGTACCTCTGCCGCTCCGCCCACGCGGCCAATAACGCGTCGCGCACGCTGACGCGCCCCGCTTACTAACTCGCTGAATGGTTCGTGTTTTTTTTTTTTTCGTTAATAACTCATTAACGAAACCGCGGAGAAAATTTTCGCTAAGGATAAAGTTACTTCGAATGATCTTAGGAATCACCGTAGGGTACCTTGGACCCTTTCCAGGGCTTGCAGTATTTTTCGGGACACCTTGTATAACGCTCGTGCGAATTCATATCTTCGGGGACCAGTTTATGAAACCGCCTCGTCACGGCTGCCTCGACATATTACCGCTCGACGCTGTAAGCGTTTTAATCCGACGCGGTAATTACTGGTCGCGAATACGCGGATTCCTGCACCCGAATTTTCGGCCACGGAAACCTTTGGCCGCGGCAATCCCGACTAATTAATCCGGAGAAACTGATACGCAAAGTTTAATTTACTTCGTTCCCCGTGAAATTGTGACTCGGTTAAATTGAGGTTAGGTTCAGGTTATGTCCATAGTTTTCCGGTTGCAGCTTTTTAAACCGGACGTTAAAATGTCTATATTCGTCCTCGACGAGAAAAGATCGTTCCGAATTATCATATCTTCTATAACTTATTAATAGAAAGGCTGCTTTTAAAATTCAGAAAATTTTTTGTAATCTGTAGATTGTTTTATTTAAATGATTATATTATTTGCTTGGAATTTTAGAGACTGGACGTTACAATCATATTATTTGGTTTAATTTACCACTGAAAGCAGGGGAATAAGAAAATATTTTTACAAAAGTTGTTTGCATAACCTAAAAACATTCTTGTGATTGGAGTGATCTTTTTTTTTAGCATTTGGTTATGTTGGACACTGTGGAGGCAAAGATGAGTTTGGCATCGTTGCGGGCCGCGGGCGATACACATCGCACGTACCCTGTGGGCAATTAACGGTGAGCTCGCAGGGCTAATTAGAACCGGGAAATTACACGGCGATGGTGAGAATCGGCCATTTAACGTTTTTATACACGACACGGTCGAAATTGGAGTTTGTGAATATTGCTCCGGCGTTATTGCAATCGAGGACGCGGAAGGTTTCATTCGAATGCAGAAGAATCCGGGCTTGTTTGCCCAAAAATTGTTCATTTCAACGAAAACATAAAAAAAAGACAATTTTTTTTATGCTCGAGTTTTTATATTTTTTTTGTCAACTTTGAGGTTTCCAATCGGCAAAAATAGTGTCAATGGTGGTAGTGTTTTTTGAATTTTGGTTTTCATGACAATTAATTTTTTTTTTTAGGACATTCGATGTAACTTTTTTTCACAGGAGTATGTTGGTAAGTAGAGAATAAAGCGCGAACTTTCCCCAAGAGGCAAATGATCTTGGGAATTCTAGTGGAAAACGTGTTTTCCACGATCGGTAATATCTTCGACTCATTTGTCCGTTTAATAAGACATTACGCAATGGTAAAATACAAAAACGAATTCAGAATATTCTCTTTTTCATAGAATCTTTAAGGCTATGTAAACAATTTCTGGTGCATTCGAAGAAACTATCTAAACACTGCCACTTGTCGACCGTCGCTTATTGCAGAGACCTGCGTTACCACCTGAATCGAAGAATTACTACTTTCTAACTAGCTTCCCTAGATGGCGCATGCTGTCGCAGAAACTAATGTATACCTGCTTTTACCGACACGACGCGGGAAAAATCGAATTGCAAGATTTTAGTTGGAAATATAACTAACATTGAACGCATCGGCGAATTTTACGATATATTTAACAATAATTTTAACAAGATTTATGCGATTTCATGTACCTAGATTGTTCACTGATACTTTCTCTATAGCACAATGTTTTCTCTTATCGCGTTAGATAATGCATATCATTATTTATTTAACACTTTGACTGTCGCGTTAGCCATGGAATCATTATTTGACTAGATTTGGAGACGAATTTTCACGTTAATATTTTATGACTTCTGAGAAGCTAAATTTTTCAATTTCAATTTCGTTGGTACTATTTCTATCAGAGGGGTCAAAAGATGCATTTGCAAATTTTAATTGCACGCCACTTTTACCGATCGGGTCAAAGGACACATTTTAATATTATAATTGGACATGATTTTTACCAGACAGGTTAAGAGAAATCTTTTAAAATTTTATTTTAATTCAAAATTATTTGAGAAGTATAAATTTAATCACTTCTCACCGATTGAACTTTCAATTTTTTTTCTATAATGATTATAAAATGAAAATTTGGTAAAAATTGTATACAAGAAATTGGTGAAAATAGTGTTAAATAAAATACTCGGGATTTTTTCGATATTCTCGTCAAAGTGTTCAATTCCATTCAACTTTCAAAAATTATTTCAAGTTACTAGAAGTCGAATAGCTTCCAAAAGCGAATATAATTTCTATAAAAAATCACTTTTTGAATCAAACATACCCTACTGGGAGTTAAAAAGGCTACCACATAAGCAATTTCTGCAACTAGCTCACCAAACTTAGCTTCAATTTTCATTCTACTTCCCGCAGACACCTTTGAACCACAGTGTAAAATAGAACCACATTTATCCAAACCTCGTTTATTCGAACCTTATGTATTCTAACCTCATTAATTCATTCTAACCTCCTAAAACTACCTTCGACTTTCATTCTACTTCCCGCAGTTACTCCTGAACCACAATGTATGCGAGAACCTCGTTCATCCGAACGCCGACTTCTCGTATCCGAACATGAGAACGCATCAGGTTGCGCATAACGAACGATCTTCTATTATCCGAACCGTCAGCAGCCTCGTACGAGTTTCTCCGACGTGCTCGCACAGAATGGCTGCGTGTCAGAGAAAAAGCGTTGGTTCGTGGAAACCGGATGAAACCGGAAATTCGTGGTGTCCCGTGACGAGGGTCGAAGAAGCGGGTACCGGGTCCCGTGGACGGCCGGGGTCGCAAAAGAGAGAAATTTCTTTGCATCGGCGATTAATTACGCCCTCATTGCCGCCCCAAGTAGTACCGTGGGGGTCCGTTCGCCGATGCGCGTCGCCGATATTGACATTTGCCTTGCGTGCACGCACCTCCTTCTCTGCCTTGTCCCTCTTTAAACGGCTTCTCCTGTTTACCGAGAAACCGCGATATTTACGCGAGAACTGCCCGCGACCGTACGGGCGGAAGAGACAGAGAGAGAAAGAGAGAGAGAGAGAGAGAGAAATGGAGAGAGAGAGAGAAAGCAGAAAGTGACGGTAGAGAGGAAGAGAGGTAGAGAGAGAGAGAGAGAGAGAGAGAGAGAGAGAGAGAGAGCGAAAAGTGGTGGTAGAGAGGAAGAGAGAAGAAAAGAGAGAGAGAGAAAGGGGGTAGCGGAAAGTAGAAAGAGAGAGCGAGAGAGAGAAAGACAGAAAGTAGAGAGAGAGAGAGAGAGAGAGA